GTTGGTGGTGTGTATTGACTTTATGAGAGTTAATGAGTTACGGGAGTCAGTAAAAACTGTAAAAAGAGAAGAAGAGAGTGATATATGTGTTTTAGGGCAAAAGGAGTGCATACAGTTCTGTAGGAAAGACACTGGATTCAGGAGGAAGGGAGTATTTGAAAGTACGAGTTGGGAATATTACTGCAAAACCAGCACCAGAGGTGGATTTGGAGCCATCAGTATATACGTGTATACTAGAGGAATGGGTGGAGACACGGTCAAGGAAATGGATGAGAAGGACAGTAGGAGGAATATTTGATTTGGTGGGTCGGGGAAAACAGAAGAGCAAATATGGGGGTGAGGTATAAGCCATGGAAGGACGGAATGGACAGAGAACGGGGGAGGTTGGAGATGGGGGAAAGGGGAATGGGAGAGGAGGGTATCCATGCGAGTGGAGAAAGGAGTAGGTAAGCGTGGAGATGAAGCTAAGGTAGGAAGTAGGGATTGTGGGATAGTTAATTTAGTGAGGGGAAGTTGGTGGAAACGAACATAACATCGGCCTTCATGAGTGTTGCGGCACGATTGTAGGGCAGTAATGAGTTCAGAGGAAGAAAAACGAGCATTATAGGACTCAGCGAGGATGGGGTGAAGGTAATGGGGGTACTTTCTCTGGTGGTCTTGATAGAAGAGAAGTGTGGAGAAAGGTGAGAACCACTACTGACCTGGCTGAAATAATCACCCAGTTCATTAGCGACTTGAAGAGGATCAGAAATGAGGGTATCTCGAATATGGAGGACGGGGGCAGGATGGGGGGGATGTTTGCCTGATAGTTTATGGATTCGGCGCCAAACATTTGAGATAGATGTAGAGGATGTAATTGATGAAACATAATTTCGCCAGCTATTTGTTTTACTATTCCGGATTGTACGACGAAGACAGACAGATGCTCTTTAAAGGAGATAAGGGCTGATAGTTGATTTGGAGTACCTCTCTTGTAGCGGTAACTGTTCCAGGCTGCACGTTTTAAGCGAAGTGCTTTAGTGCAATCAGAATTCCACCATGGAACACATTTAGAGGTATATGGTCTTGAGGTTCGAGGGATAGCTGTATGTGCAGCTCTTAAGACTGTAGTTGTGAAACACTATAATTTCTGAAATGGAGGTGAGGGAGGATGGAGGGGTATGAATAGCAGAGAGTGAAGTGAAAGTATGCCAGTCGGCTCTATCAAGCACCAGCGTGGGGAGTTAGGAAGTGGTTCGCATGAAGTAGGAGAAAGGAGAACTGGAAAGTGGTCACTATAGGGAAAAGTGGTCTAAGACTGACCAGTGGAAATCTAAATGAAGAGAAGGGGAGCATAGAGAGAGGTCAATGCATGAAAAAGATTGCGTGCGTGTATCAAAGTGTGTGGGGCGATCTGAATTTAGAATAGTAAGGTCAGCTGTGGAGAGGAAGCGCTCTAGAGATCGGCCTCGGGAGTTGGTAATAGAATCACCCCAAAGAGTGTGGCGGCAGTTAAAGTCGCAAACTATGAGGAAAGGTGGTTGAAGTTGGGAATTAGATTTTCAAAAGCAACAAAATCAACGGGGTGGAAGGGGAGAAGTAGACTGAAATCACTGTGATCCAACGATGAAGGAAGATACGAATAACTGTGCAAGGGACATTAGTTTGAAAGGGAGGTGTGACATAAGGTGTTTTCTGATTGATAAGTATGGACGAGACATAAAGGGAAAGTGGGGAAGAGACAAAATGATAATTGGGGATTGGTATTGGAGGATGTGTAAGAAAAGTTTTCTTGAAGGCATACAATAGATGGGTTATAAGAGGAAAGGATATGACGAAGGTCAGGTCTGTGGGAGCGGAAAACGCGAATATTCCAATGAAGGATAGTTATACTTTCTTTGATTTAGTGATAGACTGTAGTACGTGTTGGAGAATTTGAAGGGGAAGCAGCTAGAGGGTGGGATAAGGACTGAGAGGTTTGAGATGGGAGAGGTGTGGGAGTTGGTGTTCCATCAGGAGGGGTATTAGGAGATGGAGGGTCTGAGGAAGGGGATACTTGTGACATAAGGGATTCACGTGTATCGAGGAGGGAGTGGAAGGGATAGAGGGGATGGTGGGAGGGTTAATGTGGGCGGGGTTGGGGTCGGGGGGGATGGGCTGTGCTGGGAGGGGGTAGGAGGATAGGGTGTAGGGGGGATATCGTTAGGAGGAGGATGGATATCAGCAGTTACTTGGAGTGTGGAAGGAGCAGGAGTTATAGGTTGAGTGTCAGTTTTCATTAAGTAATCTTGAATATTTTCAATAGTTTCTTCTGAGGAGTTGGTTGGGGAGTTTTGGGGGATAAAGGATTTCTTGTGAGGGGGGGAAGAGAGGACTGGTGTTTCAAGAGTAGGGGCAAAGGATGGTGGAGGTGATTGTGTGGTAGGGGAAGAGGGGGTGGAACGTTTGTTCTGTCTGTTACGGGTAGTGCAAGGAGGGAGAGGGGAAGGTGTTGGGGTTGTAGCGGTGATCGGAGTATCTGTAGTAGAGATTGGAGTGTCTGGATTTAGGATGGCAAGAGTTTGACTGTGGAAGGTAGGAGGTAGAAGTGGGGGGAGTTAGATGTAGGAGGGGTGGGTTTAGGAGAAGTGTTAGAATGAGCAGTATTACTGGAGTAAGGAGTAAGAGAGAATCCACGTCGACGTGCTTCCGTCTGGCTTCACGCAGTGTGAGTCCAAGTTTGAATCTGAGAGTTGCTACCTCACTCAAATTTGTAGGTGGGACAGCCCCTATAAAATACATTATAGGGGCCGCCACAGTTGGCACAGGTGCGTGATTGTGGCAGAGCAGTTAGATCGGGTATGGCCAGGTTGGGCACATAGTGGGCATCTGGCTGTGGAACGGCAGTGTTTGGCTGGGTGTCCTAGACGCCAACAATTTTGGCACTGACGTGGAGGAGGTTGGTATGGACGAACAGGGAGGGATTCTCCTCCTATGTAGACGTTAAAGGGAAGGTCATGTCTACGGAAGGTAATTTTGGCTATGTTAGTGGGTTTCTTTCGATGACCTCTGGGGGGAATGGAGTAGCATTGTACTGATGTTGCATCATAGTCTGTGAGACAGGCAAGTAGGTCTTCTCCACAATCTGACCAATCTTTGTCATAGATTGGGCAATTTGCTGGGGGGATTGAAACTGTTTCGGTGCAAGTATTGAGGGTTGGATGGGGTTCTGCAAGGATGGGGTTACCATATAGGTCAGTTAGTTTTGTTAATGCTATAGCTTGGTTTTCGGATGTTACTGTGACAAGACGGGAGCGGTCGGGTCGGCTACGGAGAGAGACTCTACCTGCTTGTTTTTGGAGACATTGTTGGAAGAGAAGGGTGTTATCAGAGTAGGGAGCTGTGGGAGGGATCACGAAAAATCGGTCCCATTTGGCTGCGCTACAGAGAGTATTCAAGATTGTTTTAGAGATAGGAGTAGTAGAAGGGCGGGGGCGTGACGAAGATGGAGTAGTGTTGAGGGAGGTAGTGTTATGGAGAGGTGGGCTATAAGGTTGTAAGGTATTAATAAGGGAGGATGGGGTGGTTGATGTTGGAGGTTGTGGGGTAGAGGTGTTGAAGTTGAGCATGCTGGAGAGTGGAATGTTCCTTGAGGGTTGACTGTTGGCTACTGTACTAGTAGATATTGATGAGGGGGGTAGTTATTGCAGTGTTCGGAGCCGTGATCAAAGGAGAGCCTGGGGTCAGGGAATCGGGTGGGTTTACTTCGTTAGGGCTATTTGATAAAGGGGCAAGCCTCATTGCCCCTAATAGTGGGGATATGTTTTCATTACTGGCCATGGTAAGCCTGGATTATGTTGGGGATAAAAACAGTCCACCCCTCAGGGTCCCCTTGAGGGGTAAGGGCTAGGTATAAAATCAGGGGAATACCGTGCCCATGGCTCCCTCAGGCCGTTCGGGACTGGCACAAAGTCAACCTTTCATCCTTTCAGCACGGCTCTCACACCTTAGGAGGTGGATAGCAGAAGGGTTTGGTGAAGGGACAGAAACGAAAAGTGGGAAGGGAAAAAAAGACCATGCAAAATTAGTTGAGTCGAGGGCTGAGTCCCAAGGTTGGGGAGTTCCCCCATCATTGGGTCCCAGTCTCCGCCTCCTATGCCCCCCCACGACATCAACGGGCAAGGGATTGGGGGGGTTCGTGTCGTGAAGGTAACGGATGTTGGCCCTGGTTGATTTACTGGCAGATATGTAGAAATCCTTAGGAGATTTTCTTCCCAACAGTTAGGGATATGGGGTTTCCTGAAACAGATCACTTCTCTCTTATTGAGGACAACAGTCCCCATCCATACCAGCCGTGTTGTCGAAGATTGGTTTCCTGAACATCTGCCCAGATTTCAATCCCATTGAAAACGTGTGGGCAGCGATGTCAAAATACATGCATCAAGACCACACTCATAATTGTGTCGCAATCTTGAATACCTTGCAAACACAGGGACGTTTATTATGTGAGGAAGGCGTGCGTGGACAGTCGAGTTAGTGGTGTCTGTTTCGACGCTAGAACTGTTTTTTGGCAGCATGGTGTAGTAACAATATTTTCCATATTTTGATCTTAATGAAAGATGCCAATAGCCATTAGCCATATTATAATAAACCGTGAGAGTAGCACCTGTCTAGTATTACAATTGACCCAACAAAAAAAGGACAAGAAAGCTAAAGTATTAAACCATATAACAAATCATTTGTGAATTTATTGCTTCTAATTCATGATTTACCAAAAGTAGTTGGAAAATCAGGTGTACCAACAGTTTCCTAGCGTTAACAACCTAAATTTCAAAAAGTTCTGTTGTGTGTCACAATGTTAGCCATAATTTTCTAACAAGTTTTCTTTGTAGCTGTGCACATGTGGCATACTAGGCTTAGTGAACCATCTGGGGATCAATCACTTTGAAAAGTTCAAGGTCTTTAGTGAATCTGTACTCCTTGTACTACACAATTTTTTTGCCACTGTTCATTTCTCCTCCTCAGGAATTAGGAAATAAATATTCATTGGGGTTCATTTATTCTACATTCCACAGTATATTACATTCTTTAGTTCACATTTTCTTACAACAGCTGTATCATGAATTACCTAAATAAAATTCTAGCCATTTACAATGTTACTTTACCACAAATCTAAAGAAATTTAATAATTTTGTGCAGGAGTAAGATGACAAGTACAGAGCTGCCGATCAGTCACCTGAAAATAAAAGAATGGTTATTTATGTCAATAAAAGTTTCACACTATATGCTATATATAACACTGTCAGATATTCACTTCTTTTAATGTCAGTTGACGAAAAATAAGATCATCTAACTATGCCTTATTAGCATGGATAGTCCTCTAGTTGAGAGGACAATGCATTGCTTCCTCTATCTCATCTTTTAGTGCCCTCTCTTTATACTAACTGCCATTTCTCTGCTGAAATTTCCCATGCTCACTTCCACTCCTCTAACCAATATATGCTTTCCTAAAAATAACAGAAAAGGGAAATCAGTATTAGCAAGAAGGCACTGTTCATCTTTTAAGATTCTGCTACAGTTTTTCACTGAACAATCCAACCCTAAATATATTCATATTTACGATACAATTCTAACTTTTAAAAAAAATAATTGGATACAAAGACTATATATATTTTAAGATACCTTCTGTCCACAGAGCAATGCAACAAGTATCACATCAAGAGAATCTGAAATTCAGTATGTGTGGTAAAATAAATACAAACCACATTTCCACATAATATAGTTTGTGCATATATCAGATGTTCATTTCTACACTTATTATATCAGTTGACGAAAAATAAGGTCATCACTAAATGAATAACAATATTTACATAAATTTTGATCACTTACTAGGTTTGTTTAGAGGCTGCAAAAATCCCACCAACTGCCAGCCTGCTCTCCCAATAAATCTGAAAACAGAACTTGTGAGTTTTGTTCATTTAACCGCTTAAACAGTCTAGTTGCATTTGGTTTCTCAGTGAGAGAGTTATTCATCAACACTCAGTATTTCCTGTAAAGGTTTCATCACATTAGTTCTTAAGGTTCAAACCAAAATGTAAAAAATACATCATTCCTCCCTCATCTTACCTTTTGCTCAAATCCATTGCAGGTCCTTCCTTCCTCTTTTCACTAAAAATGGTGCTTTTCATTTACTCCAAAAGCAGACCTGGAAAAGATTATTCTTTGAGGATGAAAACACAAATGTACACTATTATAATCAAACAAATTACGTTGTCAGAGTTAATCATTCCACACAAGGATTAGGAGACGAAAAATTAAAGCATCATATCAACAGAATATAGGAATTAAATATTCAATTCACAATATTCCACTTTCTTTTACTCTTCCTACAGTAGCAAAATTTCCTCCTACTTACCCACAGCTTTCATTTCAAACTATCATGTGCATAAAACTGCCTTTCATGCTAAATGAACTTGCTCACTGGAATTACTGAAATATACCAAAGAAAAAAGCAGATTAATTGCATATCCAGGGTAATTAGATTTCTGTAAGCTATGGGATTGGTATTTCTTTTCATTCATCAAATATACTTCGAGAGATGTAGAAAGAAAAACATTAGTATTTGGATATGCAGGATTTACAAGGTTTTCTTTAAAAATACAGCTTCAGCAAGTTTTCTAATAGCCTTGAGCCTCTACTTTTCATTTAATCCTTTTAAATAGATGGCTAAACAATAAATTCCAAAGACTTCAAATTTCCTTCAACTGATTACATCAGTCAGTTGGTACAGCTATGCAAATTAATAATTAAACAAAATCATGTGAAAAAATCTACTCTAAGATTACATGAAATTTCCCTACTTAATATACGTCATACACAAAGATGTACCTAAATCTCTGTATTATCCTCAAGATGTGCATAGGTGTTTTATCATCAAACAGCAAGTCATTCATGTTCCAATACATTCCCACTTGAAATATACTTTATGATCAAAAAGAAACTTTAAAAATGTAAAGAAAATATATATCTTATTCCAAACAAGGAGTATGAAATGAAAAATGAGAAAAATGAAAACATGACAACACAAAAAGAAAAAAAACTTTACAAAGTTCCAATTTCTCTTATTCTTAATATACAAATTAAATGGTTATATTAAGGGGGACTTTCTTTACCGTTCTTTAAAGAGATTATTGGCGACAAATTCCTATTTTGGTAAATTTGGGTTATGTGCATTTCCGATAACCTTTTGCTATGAGTTGTCTCCCCATAGTTTAAGTCTCCCTTTGAAATTTTGAAAAAGATAATAACCTAGTAACATTACTCTACATTTGATATATACAAGAATCATCAATCTTACATACCTTATTTTCACACTGAAGACAAAATCAGCATTACCCTCCAGATGATCAACTGAAATAAAACCAAGAGTAGTATGTAGTACATGAAAACTGTACACTACACATAGTAACAAAAAAATTAAAAATCAGTTTATTAATTTCTACATTCCTGAATTCAGTTGACGAAAAATAAGGTCATCATTTTAATTGTATAGAGAATCTTTCATCTTCAATAAATTATACTTTTTGCTTCACAGTTCCTCTTACCTGGACCTCTGTCCACTAGCAGCATCGGCTATTTCTTGTTCTCCAGTTTTCTATGGCTTCACTTCTTCCTTAAAAACGACAAAAGATATTTTTGTTTAGCATACGAGAAAAGGGGGAAAAAAAGAAGAGTAGCACAGTCTAGCAATCATTCCTCATTATGTAAAAAATTATTTGGTAAACGTTTGCTTACCCAGAGCTTCCTTTTTCAGGTTTTTCCAATCTTAATACAATGCCTTTGGTGTGACAGGATCCATCCAAGCTTCCTGAAGATGTCAAGGAGAAAATGCATGAGTATTTTGATTTGGTGTCTAGAAATAAACACCTCTCATTCTTCCTATCTAATTTAAACTAGGGGGGTGGGGCAGTACAATGGGAAAAAAAAAAAAAAAAAAAAAAAAAAAAAAAAAAAAAAAAAAAAAAAAGGTTGTTGAATCACTTCATAGTTTTTCATCCCTTTTCATTATGCCAGTTTCAAGTACAAAGAATCCTCTATCCCAAGCTTATGTATAAAAAGATGGATGGACGTTTTGAATGCAGTTTCCTTTCAATATATCCAGAAATTGGGCAAATTTCCTTTGACTGACTGATTTCACTTCAGTTTCTAGAAATCAACATTAACATTAATTCCCCCTATCAACAGATTCACTCAAATTCGAATTGGTACCTTACCCAATGCTTAGGATCAGCTCCATTTCTAACAAACTGCTTCCAAACAACTTTTCAAACCACTCAAAGAAGAAAAATACTTATTGAGATTTCTTCCCTCACACTAGGGGTGGATAAGCAGAAGTTGGTTCTTCTTTCCTCAGTGAGAGAGTTTATCATCAAAACTCAGTCTATACCCTGTAATGGTACCAATCACAAATATTCATATTCAAACGATTTTTCATTTCCTATTACATAATTTGCTATGTTCACATACATCTGTACCATTCTACAAAATGTACTTTTTACTTACCCCAATCTTTAAAGATGTATATCACAGTTATTTCTGCAGAATCACAGGGAAAACAGGAAAGCAGCATTGGCACAAAATTTCATTATCTTGCATAACTCTTACAATCATGGACCATTTCTGAGAACGGTTTTTTCCTTCCCCTCCAAAGAAACTGAAAATAGATTAACAGTGTTGTGAGTCTCTTTCATAACCCTGTGGTGGACAAGGGCCATTTGGTTCTCCAGTGAGAGAGTTTATCATCAAAGGTCATTAGAACCCTGTTATGGTATCATCATTTCCATTTGTTCCTTATTAAAATGCTTGTATTTTTGGTCATTTCTATTTTGCTTTACCATATCTCTAAACTGTTACTCTGTACTTACCCATTCTTAAAGTGATCATGCAAATGATTTTTTAGTCTGCAGAAACAAATCCTGAAAAAGAAGACAATACATCACATTAGTGGAAAATCTTTCTTCATAGATTAATTTATATAACCCTAAATATTAGCCATTCTATTTTCACAATTAGTCACAGCTTCGACTAACACAACTTATATTTCAACCAAATTTTTGCATGTACGTTCAAGTTATCAAGTCGTTAACCGCATTCGCCCCAGATTTATGTTCTGTCCCCTGGTAGTTTTTGGTGAATTTTGTTAATACAGATTTCTCCTCATGTAACTCAGCTGCAAGGAGTCTATCAGGCCCCTAGTTTACCGACCCTGATTTTCGCATTCATTGAATTGGCGGAAGATTAATCCATTGCTATCAACTTTCATTGTTATGATGTTATGATATTAACCAATGATGCCGTGTGTCCAAAACCAAAACTACGCTCTAGCAAACAAAGGCGGTGCGCCGACTTTGAGCGCATGAGTATGGGGACATCAGCCCGAATCACTGGGTGCTCGCCACTGGCTTCGCCACTGCGGCATGCCAGCTTCGAGCGGTTTGTTTTGCCAACGCTGATTCGCGTCACCCGGCACCAAGGGGTTAAATGTTCATAAGAATAATTTAGACAATGAAATGATACAAAATCCCTTTCCTAAAGTGAAGGAAAAGGTAAACAGTTGAAATAAGTAGTTCTTGATAACTAGCCATTTTGTGATTAAGAACTTGTGGGCATTCTTGTGTAAATACATCTATAAAAGGTGTATCAAAGTAGGTATGGCATCTATTCTTGCCACGTGGGGCGAAGGTGGGTTTAACGAAAATTTAATCTGGGATATTAACTTCAATCAAAACCTGACTCTGCTCACAATCTTACCACTTACAACAGTACGCAAATCCCTTATCTTTGAAATGATTTTGGTTATAGAGATTCTCTTCACACTGATAAGTGAACTTGCTCTTTCACAATAATGTCACTTTGCCAGACTTAAAGTCCTCATACAGACTGGAAAATATTTTTCTATTAGATCTTTCTGATGTAATGAGTAAACGAAAATTACAACTTAATATCAGATTAAACTTTCCCGCAAAGTATTTCGGAGACGAAAATAACTACATCCTTTTCTACTGAATCCCTGCTTAAAGCATTTTCTTTAAGTCCACTTTCACCCTTAAAAAAAATTCACCCAGCTTACCAAATGCAAAATATCATTGAATAATTAATTTCAAACTTTCCCTTAAAGCTTAAAAATGACAATCAGTACCATATATCCTTTTATTTTTTCCGTCTAAGTTTGTTCCCTATTTCAATCAACACACTTCTCTTCACATCTTCATATACATACATATATAATCCATTTGGTCACTTACCCCATTGTAAGAGTCTGCATTTCCTAGAAACTACTGCTAATCAACTTCCAACCACTGAAAGTAGAACAAAACTTCTAAGTTTTTATTTTTTTCTCTAATTATTATAGTGGTAAAGATGTGTTTTGACTCTCAGTGAGAGAAGTTTATCATCAAAAGTCAGCCTAAACCCTGTTATGGTGTCATCATTTTCTTATATCAGCAACTTCCTAGTTCAAGTTACCTTCTATACCAGTCATATTTTCCTAAATTTCACTTACCCAAGTATTTTTAAATGATGTAATAAGGTTTTTACTACACAAAATTCTGGTGAAATGGAAAAGAAAAGTCTCCATTAGTAATTACTATAAATTTTGGTGTGAATGTAATTTCACTTTATGTTTAAAATAGGATTTCTTGCAAAAAAAGTAAAATGTTCATTGAATTTTATAAAATTCAAATATGTAAAAGATTTTTTCAGGACACACCCCCCAGCCCCCCCCACCCCCCCCCCCCCCCCCCGCCCCCCCCCCCTAACACGGCACTGTTGGAAATCCTTTAAGTTTATAATACAGATTAACCTAATGCTGTGGGAGTATCTGGTTCATTGGGAAATTGGGCTTGCCACCATGGCATCTTTCAAAACCAACAGTGATGAGTTTTGTTTCCTGCAAAATATCACTTAACCTAATTCTCAAAATCTGCTCCTCTCCAACACACTGATTGCATCCCTCCCAGAAACTGAAAATAGAGGATAACTTCTGAGTCCTATTCCTTCCACTGCAGTAGAACACGCTGACTTTAGTTTCCTCAGTGAGAGAGTTTATCATCAAAACTCAGTCTAAACCCTTTATAGTGTCATCAGTTCATGCTTTAAATCACCGTTTTCAATGCTTTAAATATTTATCATCACCTATATCACATTTACTAACTCTCTAAAACTTTCATTATTTTACTTAACCCAATTTTACTAGTGCCTGCATATCAATGAACTTTTTCCTCAAGGAAAAAAGAAACACAAAAGATGACGACTTTGTTTGCGTTTTTATATTTGGGTGAAAACTGAAACACTCACATTCCGTCCACCTGATGTGAGTTCTCTTGTTCTCAATCAGATAACCTGGAAGGATTTTTCCTTATCAGAACATTTCATAGAAGTAATGGGGTAAAACACAGTTACACTTGTTCCGATAAAAAATTCCACATTTGCAATTTTCGGAGACGTAAAATAAGTACAACATCATTTTCTGCTGGATGCACTTTAACTAAGTAATTTAAATTCCTACGTCTTGTATTTATTTCTTAACTTTTTCTATAGTAGTCCCCAATTCTTGCGCATTGTATCTCTGCTTACCTGGTAACAAGAGGAAAGAAAATATTCACATTAAGTTTTACCAGAAGTTCAAGTGAAACGGTTTAGACTTTCAACAACAAATTTAGTATTATCTTTGCAAGTAACCAGAATTTTTAAAAAAAAATTAAATTACCATCTACATATTCGACCTTTTTTTTTCCACCTCAGAACTGCAAATTCAAGCACTATCTTACATATTGCTTTATACCTATGCAATAGGAATTTGGATGATTGATTCTTCAACAGCATTCAAACAAAAGCTCAATGTACCCAATTAAATTTTCCATTCAATCTTTCCTTACTTTGACCTCAACAGTATATAATACATACATACATATATACTGTATAGACATATAATATATACATGTATATACATTACACATTATACATGTATACACATCCAATATATTTATACCCATACAGCCTACAACAGGTATTGATAGGATTTCTTACTTAGAACATTGGATTCAACACTTTCCAATGAAAACTCAATTCAGGTGTTTACTTCTAAAACAAGTTTTCAAACCTTTTTGCTTTTATTTCATAGTATAATGCAATATGCATATCACATGTGTATCCATCCTAATAACAATTATTGCTACCTTTGTGGCACAACACATTAATAGTAGATCATTGCCTAAGAGAAAACAATTTTACCAGATTCATGCTCACAGTAAAAAAAAAAAAGGATATTTTCCATCTAGGGTCCTATTTCATAAACATTTTATAACAAAAAAAATTTATTGTTACCATTATATAATATATATCCACTTTTTATACAAAGAAAATTGTAACTTAACATATTAACATAGCGTCTATGCCAAATATGAATTTCATCAATATTTACACAGGTATTCCTAAGGAGAACAAACTCAAATTCATACATTCACTCGTACACTGAGCTTATAGCATTATTCCCAAGTCCCCTTGGAGAACGTTTCCTTCAGCAAGAAATCGGAAGAGTTTGAGGGTTAATCTAAAAATTCATTAATAAAGAAAAAAAAAAAATCTAATGCGCCCTCAGATCCCTCAAATACCTGAACTGAACAACGATTTTAGCAAATTTTGTGGTTATTATGTATTATCTACTGACTGTCCCTCTCCTTCCTTTGTGTCCTGCTCTCTCCACTGCTGCTTGATGAATCTCTCTCAGATGCCATCTGTGAAGGGGCACAAAATAATTGAAAACTCTCTCCAAT